AGGCGTAACCATATGAATAATTTACAAAGGGCCGGGGGAACTCGTCCAGGAGCTGACCGTTTGTCCATATTGAATGGCCATTTTGGTTTATTTTGGACCCTTGTAGCCACAAACCAGATCCCAAGTAGAATAGACTGGAATCACTGGTACCAGTCTAATTCTTCTAATTGTTCCAGTGGTTCCATTCAGTGTTCATGTCCGTCTGACTCCATGTCCTCTTGTTACCATTTTCGCTGCTATGCCCATCTTGACTATTATATGTATGGGTCAATGGATGAGGAGGTGGCGGGATTGATAAATTGGCACGGGACGGGGGATACTGCGGAATCCCGTGTGATGGGGCCCCAGGATGCTTTACGGTTGCACTGTCTGCTCCGCTGGACCCAGATCCACTTGGTGTCATGGAAGGGTAACCCGATGGCCAGCCTGTGGATGAACCAGTGGGTACGGAGGTGCCCAAATGGGCTGTGGACGTCACGTTGGAATGGACGCCATCTGTCGACAGTCTACCAACCATACTTGCACGACGTTTGGCTCGGTGCTCTTTCTTAAGAGCGGTAAGCTCAGCACGCAATTTCTCGTTTCTCATTCGAAGCTGCTGCAACTCATACTGCCAGCTCGAACCAACTCCAACACCTCCCGTCGTCACGGGACTTTCAGATGTCTGGGAGGGATCCAGGTATGTGCTATTCGATACTGACGCCGAGCCCTCTTGGTGGGCCGTGTCTTCAATCAGGTTGACGCTTCCATTCAGTGGTACCTGATGACCAATTTTTCGTCGTGGTGGGCGGATGTTCCCATTGGAATTCGAAGAGTCACTCCGGAATAACTGGAGTGGTGAGGTAATAGGTTGTGTGATGAGGGGCAAGGACGACTCGTTAGTGCTCAGCCCGTAGCTAGGATAGTTGGAGGTCGATGCGGATGATGGAAATGTGGCAGAAAGCGGGGAAGCAATCGACAAGGAAGCGCCGCTCACTTTTGGTGCCTGTTGATACAGGGCGGTGGGTCCGGTCTTTGGGCCAACGGAGGCTTCTGGAAGATTTGATCGCATCATGCGTCGCTGAAGAACGCGAAGACGGACGATCAGAGTCCCAGGAGTTCGTCTCCAAGGTGTACTTGACGACTCTTGCGGAGATGGCTGTCGTTCTTCGGGAGCGGGGCCTAGTTTCATGGATAGGGGCGGGAAGAATCTGATCTCGGTAGTCGCAAGGACTATGGACTTGCCATTGGTGCCGTCAGTGGCACCTTCCATGGGACTCTTTCTGTTCTTGTCTTTGTTGAGGGTCGCGGCTGGTACATTACAATAGACGATTTGCGACGGCCTGGTTTCGTCAATCTGATTGCACGCCACATCGGCAACTCCAAGTGCGCTCTTGATGAGCTCTCGTTTGGATCCCTCAGTATCATCGATGACGAGTTCCATGAGTGTTCTCCCAACGATATCGTCCGCTTTGCGACCTAGCACATCCTCGACCGTTTTTGAACAAGCAACTATCAGGCCGCGTTCGTCGCGGGCAACCCGCAGGTAGCAGTCGTCCCTGTCAACACCACCAGATTCATTGATCAGCCGCCAGGTCAAACGGGGCATTTCCACTTTGCGAAGTCGGAGCAATAGTGCCTTGCGGCCCCTGGATGTATCAGCGTGCAGCTTGCCAGGGCAGTCAAGCCAGATGTAGGAACCATCTGAGCGGCGTGCTCGGAACAAGAGTTCAATATCTTGTGAGGGAGAGGTCGCTGGGTTTAGAGGAGGTGGGTTGGCCGCGACGGAGGCGGAGGATTCTTTGAGGTTGCGCATGGTCGGTGCTAGGTCCGAGGGGTGACAAATGTCGGACAGATTTTTGTTGAGGAAATAATCCGGGTGGAAATTCAGGAGGCGGGTGACGGATGGCGAAACATAGAGGAAGGATCCCTTGAGGGAGACGACAAAAATTGCATCTACCCAATTGGTGAGATGACAGAATAGGACAAGAAAATGAAATACGATATTTACCTGAGCATTCTTCCAGGAGCAAAAGACTGAGCCTATGCCTATCCTGACTGTCGTTCATGCTCGACGGGTCTGTAATGGTTCCTGTGCGGTTGAGGACATCTGACATATCCTTGGAGATGGCTCGGATGTTGAGTTTGTTAGATTGATACATGACAGGAGGGAGGGGTGTCGAGCTATAGTTTGTGATATAGCTACCATTTTGGACGCTGCGCATGATGGCCAGTGGTTGAATGGCAAGGTCTACTTGAAATCCGACGTGATAACGAACGGGTTCGTTACCACCGGAGACGATGGGGATGATCGAGACGCAATTGATAAATGGCTCTCCGCTCTTACGATAGTTGACGAGGGTGACCTGACACTCGCGGTTAGCAGACACGCTTTGAGCCATCTGAGAGACACTGTCGATATCGGTATGCTCTCTGGGGCCTCCCCGTTCGAGAGAGACACCGGGCGGAGCCTGCAGGAATCGGCAATTTTTTCCCAATATTTCCGCTTCGGTGTAGCCCGTGAGCTCGGTGAAGGTCGCCGAGGCGTAAATGATTGGCGAATCATCCCTTGTCACATCTACGACGAGGAAAGAGCACGTCAAATCGACGGGACCAAGAGCGACCTTGGGTTGGGGCCGTGTCGCCACTCGGGCCAGAATGTCGAGCATGTCAAAACCCGATGCGGAATAGATGGGTAGGCCATTGAGGGCGAGAGAGGATGCTCTTGGGGGTTTCTGTAACTCGTGGGGAGGTCTGGGTTGGGGAGAGGAGAAGATGTGTCAGTATGAGAAGATTGGCACAAGGGGAGATCGGCGGGGGTAGGAGGGAGAAACGCACAGCGCAGAGATTGTATTTTCGAGCCCATCCACTGTAGAGATGGTTGCAGCTTGGTAAGCAGAGTCGGGCGCAGGGATCGGAGGAAACATGGGCGGGATGGGATACTGAATGGAAGGATAGACTCGATTGGGGACGGTGCCGGAGCTCAAATACGGATTGGAAAATGTATTTTCGCCTCTGGATGCGAGATTCCGATCCAATATAGATCACACAGAGATGTCAGTGGGGGTCCCATTGGCCAGTCAAGCGCACGAAAAGTTGGGGGAAAATGCAAAGTACGCACGAGTTGTAGCCATACGATGGATTTGGGAGGGACGCTATGAGAGCAGACTGGCTCTGCGTGTTGGGCGAGGATGAGGAGGGAAAAGCAGACGATGATGTCGGTGCCGACGGTGCATGGAGGAGTGCCGGA